CGGGCCGAGCAGCAGGCCCAGAGCCGCCAGGAGGCTGCACAACAGGAGCGCGACACCCTCAAGTTCCAGCTGAGCGCCGAGATTATGGACTCCCAGAGCAAACTGAAGGTAACCCCCACGCCAGCCGGCAGCCCCACCCACCCCCGGTGTGACGCAGCGGGCCCAGGAGGGTGGGCCCAGGAGGTGCCTCTCGGCCGAGAGGCAGGTAGGGCCAGACACCCTGGGCATGCAGGGAGCACAGGCCGCCCGGGGTGACCCACAACTGCCCTCCCAGATCCAGGAGCGAGGCCTTAGCCCCCAAGTCTAGACCCGCCACTGCAGACAGGACTGGCCCACAGTTGGTATAAGTGACTGGCCAACACGTAAAGTGCGAGACGCGCCTTACAAATTCAGTTTTGTGCCTTGTTTTGAAATCTTGGAAGGTCGAAAAGCCCATGTCCTCATCCCCCCCGGGCAGTGGCCAGCAGGAACGTGAAGGCGCCGCCTGCCTGAAAGACGCCCTGCCTGGCTTTCCTGACACTCGAGCACCTGACCAGCCTCTGGGGCATGTGTGGGTCAGAGCCCCGCCTTAGCCTTGACCAGGTCTGGGCTCCAGGCGTGAGGGCAGCCCCTGGCAGCAGGTGCAGTGCAGGGGATCTCTGTTTGCAAGCCCCTGGGGTCTTTGTGAGGCTGGAAGGTTACCACGTGCCTCTGATGTCACACAAAGAAGGGGCAGGACGCTGGCAGTGAGGACAGGCGGGCCGTCTGGGGCCCAAAGTCCAAGGCTTGTCACTGGTCTCTGCATCCAGCCCGCGCTCTCGGCCGCTCCCCACCCTTAGCGTTGTACCACACCTGCAGCTGTGCCTCCACCCCATGCCACCCCCGGGACCCATGTGGCCTGCTGACCACGTTTTCCCTTGCAGAGATTAAATTCTAAGTTTGGGGACCAAGCGTGAAAGTAATTTGTTACCAATAAAGCCCGAATTTATTGAGCCAGTTTGGGGAAAAGAGAGATGGGCTGTTGCCCCATTTGGGGGTGGGGCTGAGGGGGTCTTGGAGCCAGAACCCCTCTCACGACCCCTTTTCATCCTCTCCAGGCTGCCAGCGAGGAGTCCAGCCGCCTCAGGGGCCAGCTCGAGGAGCAGGGCCGGCAGCTGCGTGCCAGTGAGGAGGCTGCAGAGAAGCTGAAGGTGGGCCTGGTCACGGGAGGCTGTTGAGGGGCCGGGCTGGTCTGTGCACACCATTTAGGAGGGCTCCCTGCGTGGACACCCTGAGTTGGCGTCTTGACCCCTTCCCCTCCCTGGATACCTGTCTGGAGCGGAAAGGAGATAGCTGTCCCCGTTGGTGTCCCTGTGGGCGACCTCTAGTCGTGGTTCCGGGCTAGCAGGGGCAGGGGTGGCGCTGGGCCACGGCCTTCGGGGCAGTGACTGCTTCAGTGACTCCAGGGGTGACCTCAGCTCGTCCTGGTGCAGGCTGGATCCTGGCACTGTATGGTCATGGGCCACCCCAGGTTGTTCATCGGGGTGGCACTCTCAGCCCTGGGGGCACAGCCCAGCTCAGCTCCACATACCATGGTTCTTGGGTGCCACAGAAGAGCCCAGGCAGCGTCCCCGGCATCCACGGCCACACTGGGGTTCAGGCAGGTGGTCCCTCCCACCACCTCAGCCAGGCCTTGCGACTAGGACTCAGGGTATCACGCCCCACAGATGTAGAGCAGGCGTCCTTCCCTCTTGAACTTAAAAACTAAGACCCCCCATTAGAGCAGCCTAGCCAGATGGGATGGCGAGCACGCCAGTCGCTTAGGTCTGCGGGCTAAATGTCTTCTCCTTGACGCCCTCTGCCAGGCCGCCCAGGCAGAGATGGCCGAGAAGCTGAGCTGCACTAGCAGTCGTCTTGCAGAGTGCCAGGCCGCTGTGCTGAAGAAGGACCAGGAGGTGACCGCTCTGCGCGAAAACCTGGAAAGGTCAGCCGCCCAGCCGTCCAGCCACACCCACTTAGCTGGTGGTGAGGTGGCAGGGAAGGGGTCAGCGTGGTCACCTAGACACTCGGCCACTTGTACAGGACTAGGAAGTCGTTTTGTGAGAGAAGCCATGTCTCCAGAAAGCACTTCTAGGAGAGCCTGGCCATCTGCCTGCCACACCTGGCCCTGGCTGAAGCACTTTTATCCTAGTTTGGTTTTCTTATCTCGCCCAGCGCTCACTCCGGGGCAGTAACTGCTTGCTTTAGAAAAACTGAAATGAAAATTCGGTCATAATAATAATAGGAATAATAGCAAATATCTAAATGTCGCAGGCACTGTTCTAATACTTGGCATTATCTGTCCACTTGACCTCCCAGCCGTCCTATGAGGGGCGTTCTCGGCCATTCACGTTTTACAGGCGAGGGGAGCGTGCATGCCCAGGACCAGGCTCAGCCTTGCGTCGTGCTGAAGCCTGTGGAGGGCCGTTCCTGCTGTCACCCCTCTTGTTTTTTTAGGCATGGGCTCTGCAGTGCTGGCCTGTGGCCCCCAGGACCTCCTGAGCCTCTTCATCTTCAGGCTTGGGGCCACCTAGCAGTGTGGGGGCCCAGTCGGTCCAGCCAGGGCCCGATTAAAAGGCTTAGCAGGGAGAAACGGTTTCTAAAACTGAGGTGAAGTCCCACCAGCAAAAACAGGTGCATAGATTGTCCTGAGGCCGTAACTTTTTCCTCGTCTCTCACTCTCCTGCCACCTGCCGTCTAGGCCTGAGTATAAGCTCAGGGATGTCCAGTAACCTAGACATAAGATTCTTCTCATCTGAACCTACTGGGGTCCAAATCCTGCAGGCTGCTGGCTGCCCCTAGCCAGGCATCCTGTTCATGTGCTGAACCTATTGCGTTGGTGGTGCCAGTTAAGCATCCCTAATCTCAGAATACAAAATCCCCAATTTTTTGAGTGCCAACATGACACCACAAGTAGAAAAATTCCACCTTGACCTCATGTGATGGGTTGCAGTCAAAACACTATAAGACAAAAACATTGTACGAAATCCCTTCAGGCTGTGTGGATAAGGTGCATATAAATGTACACAGAATTCTTATTTTAGACTTGGGTCCCTCCCTCGGGATATCTCATTTATGTACAAAGGGAGTTCAAAAAATTCACAGAGAAATGGAATTAAAAGATAAGAGTAGGGGACCAGCAGATGGAGTAATGGTTATATCGCTGGACTTCCACATGGCTGACCACAGTTCAAGACCTGGGCCCAGAGGCTTAAAACTCACATCAGGCACGTGTGTGTGTGTGTGTGTGTGTGTGTCCAGAATCCCAAGAGGAGAAGGGATTATGATGTGGCCACCCCCCCAGGGAGTGATTTCTTGCTTTCTGTCACTCTGTCTCCCCGGTGAATGCACACTCCCTGTCCCGACCCGGGAGACAGTCGAACAGGTTTCCTGCGGGAAGGAGTGAGAGACAGAATGGACGGCAGTGTTACAACTCTTCAGGGTCGTCCATTTATTGTGGGCAGCACGGAGACGATGCAGTGTCACAGCTCTTCAGGGTCTTCAGGGTCATCTGGCGATTGTAGGCCAGGGATCCAGGTTATATACATGCTGGTGGGCAGTGATTGGTTGAATGAAGGATTGTAAAAGGTGGTTTATGATTGGTTGCTTTTGTGGACCAATCATGAGGTGCCAGATATGCAAATCTGAGGGATTCTAAGCTCACCGATTTGTGGTCAATCTGAGTATGGTTTTGAAGGTGAGGTTTTGAAGGGGACCCAATCATGGCCTTTGGCATTGTGTAATTGTTTGCTCTCTGAGAAACCGGCGATATTTGCTGGTGCGCAGCCTCCCACAACTCCCTGTAACAAAAATCTCTCTCTCAAAAAAAAAGAGAGATAAGAATGGAAATTTTATTTCTCATCGTAAATTCCATCAAGTTCAAGGCACTTTTTAAAGCGATGATAGTCCATTTAGTCCATCCCTAGAGAACTGAGTGTCCTGGGAATTTAGCCACATAAATGTAATCTTTCCACATTATTAACTGAAGAAAAGGGGTGCCCTTTAAAGCTATTTTAAGATTAGGAAACAAAAACAAAGCCCGAGGAGCGACATCAGGGCTGGAAGGCTGGTGCCTGGTGACTGCCCGTCGGAGCGCTCACAGAGTTGCGTCATTTGATTAAAGAGCAGGAGCGTGATGGTGGAGGTTCTGGAGGACGCGGTCCCAGGCTTCTCTCCTACAGCTTGGCCCTTCTCCAGACACGGACCTAATAGATGTTATCGGTGTTTGGCCTCCAGAAAGTCAACAAGCAAAGTATCCTAAGCTTCCCCAAAAATCTGCTGTGTGACCTTTGCTGGTGACCCCCCATTTCAGCTCTGACCGGGCCGCTTCACTTCCCGGCTCCAGCGCATCGCCGGCTTTGACCTCAGGCTCGTCCTGGTAAACGCACATGCCGTCTCCCGTTCAGCTGGCCGGGAACTGCTTCCCATCGCCCTCCCACCGTCGAACATTCCCAGCCTGTGTCTGCCGCCGTCTGGGGGCCGCAGTTTCGGCACTCCCCAAGCCCAAAGCTCACTCATCTTTGGCCTTTCCGCCACGGTCGGTCGTGTGAGCTGGACCAGGCGAGAAGTCTGCTGTGCTGGCTTTTGTTTCTGCTGTTGTCGTCTGTCCTCTTCGGACAGGGCGTGGCAAGACCAAGGTCCTCCTCGCAAATGGACTGGATGGCCGTGCTGTGGGCATCGGCTTCGACGTCGTCTTAGCCCTGGCCGAGTGTTCTTGTTCAGGGCACAGAGACAGGCAGATACCCCCACGGGGTCATCAGGCCACAGTCCCTCTCCCCGCTTTCCAGTCGCAGGACCTTGGGCACGCGCTTAGGGGCATTGTCCCCGTTAACGTTTTGCAAAACCTGTATGATTTCATTCTTGCACTCAAGCTTCGCTGTAAGTTTGGTGTTTGTTCTTGCTTTAATTTGAGCGTTATTCACGTCACTCTGAGAGGGCTCTTTTCAAGCTGGTCTCTTCCTCAGTGCCTCAAACCAGATCCTGGTCAGACAAGTTAAAACAAGTTAGTATGTGTTCATTTTGATGGGGAAAATGTTAAATCCAAGTTTTTTTTTTTTTTTCCATAACGCATGTTCCATGAATTTTTGAGGGCCCCTATAAATGCAAATATTTCAAAATCCCCCAAAAAATGAAACCCAAAACACTCCTGGTCACAAGCATTTTGGATAAAGGGTACTCAACCTGTATTTTCTGAGGTGCCGGCCACAGTGGTTACTCATGAGCTCTCAGAGCGTTGGTTTGAGCGGCTTGGAGCTGCATGATCCACCTACCCAGGACTGGGTTTCCTTTAACGCCCTTCGTGGCAGTGTGCCACGAGGCCGTTTTGGTGGGCCGTGTCCCGTAAACAACTCCTGGTGACCTCATGCTAGATGCGGAAGGGCTGGGTTAGGAACAAAGTAGTTCATTTCGTTTCATGGAGCTCTTCTGAACATCTTGCCAGGCCTTGAGGTTTATAGAGCATCCTTGGAAAACTCTTTTGGGGGATGGCTGAGAGAAAGTGCAGTGGATGAGGTTAGGAGAGCAGCGGGGTTCAGTCCCAGACCCTCTGCTGTGGACGGAAACTCTTGGACGTGCTCAGGCCATAGAGGGCTGTCGGGTGGAATGCCTTCTGTGGGCCCAGCACTGTGCCTTGAGTCCCAAGGACACCTGAGGACAAGTCCTCTTCTCTGTGGCCACCTCCAGGAAGCTCTGCGTCCTTCCTGTCCTGACTCCTTTTTCCTCCTCCTCCTTCCCCCTTCACCAGCCCATGAGCCTTGTCCATCAGGTCCCTCCCACGGCCCCAGTCCCTGTCCACGATTAGTGGGTCACAGGGTTTGGCTCACTTGGGGTACTCTTAGCAACCTGGGGTCGCCCTGCTCTTTTGGAATGCCTCTTTGTATTTGGGAGTGTGCGAGGGGTGTCCCGAGGACCAGGGGAAGGATAATGCATGAGCAGATGGTGCCGGCGCCCAACACTGCTGGGAGGGGAGTGGGGCCCCCTTGTAGAGGCCCCAGTAGCCCAGTGGCATGGAGAAGTGGTGTCTGACCAAGAAAACATACCACTCACCCAGGACACAGAAGGAGCTAGAAAAAGCCACAACAGAAACCCGAGAGTACTACAGCAAACTCTGCCAGGAGGTGACGAACCGGGAGAAGAGTGACCAGAAAATGCTCGCTGACCTGGACGACCTGAACAGGACCAAGAAGTACCTGGAGGAGCGCCTGATCGAGCTGCTCAGGTGAGTACCGGGCCAGAGGGCCGCAGGGCTCCCCCTCGCGGCGTCTCCGAGGAAATGCAGCTGTTCCCACAGGGGGCTTCAAGTGCTCGCGCCCCGGCCCGGCTTTCTCAGCCCACGCTCCAGCCCACGCTCCGTTACCAGGGCGCACACACCTGCAGGGCCCGCCCCGCCTTGGGCCCGCCCAGCCTTGGACCCGAGAAGCCGGTTGCCTGTCGGGTTCGGGTTTTCACACCGAGGTGTGATTACCGGCAAAATGTCGGCATGTTTGGCTCCAGAGTGACAATAAATGACGCTTAGTAGCTTCCAGAGTTTCCCCACCTTCTTGCCCCTCTCCTGGAGCCCTGTTCTCTTCCCCTCCCACTGTCCCCAGTACTGAGGTCCCCAACACTAGGGCCAGCTACTGCAAAGGGGACCAGGGTCAAGAGGCGGGTGAGAAGCCAGGGCGTGGTGGTGCTGGCTCCTACCAGCCGCTAACAGCCGCCTGCCTTCTCAGTGGAAGATGGGAATATGGGTTTTTATGTAAAATGTCTGGTTTTAAATGTTTGCAGGTCATTCCAAACTTTTTTTTAGCTTTTCCTATGACAACTTTCCAGTAACCCTTAGAGTTGAGGCAAATCCCGTTCATAACAGCACTGCCCCATCAATATCTGATATATCCCTCTAAGATGAGAGCACTGTCTCTTAAATAACCACAGCACCGCACCACACTTTGAAAAGAACAAACGCCCGGGGCCAGCAGGTGGCATGGTGGTTACGGCGCTGGACTCCCACACGGCCCACCGTGGATCCAGCAGCTTGAAGCGTACGCCGGGCGTGTGTGCATGCATGCCCCAGCTCCCAGGAAAATGGAGCTGGGATCGCGGAGTGGCCGTCCCCTCAGCGGGTGATTGCGCTCCCTCTCACGTCTCTGTCTCTCCCCTCTATGGCAAAAACCTTAAGAAAAAAATATATGGCTAGTTTCAAATTTTTCCAGTTGCTTTGTAATTTTTTCATAGCTTGTTCTAATCAGGATCTAATTAGACCCTTACATGGCAGTGGATGATTGGCCCTTCTCCTCTCTCTTCGTCTGCTGGTTTCCCCATCTCTCTGACTTAGTTTTTTCCTTCGCAGTTTACCTTTGAGGAGGCCAGGTCATTCATGGTCGGGTTTCCCGCAACCTGGACTTTGCCAGTTGCGTCCTCGTGGTGTTGTTTATCGTGTTCTTCCTTCCTTGCGTCCCCTGGGAACTGACAGCTAGAAGCAGGGCGGTGTCTCTCAGCTCTGGCCACATGCTGGAATCTCTAGGGGAGCTGTTTTTAACAATGCCCATGCCCAGGCCCCACCCACACGAACTTAAGCAGAATTTCTGGGAGTGGGGCCCAGAAAGCCCTGCTCTGCGGGAGGCTTGCTCACGCTGGGGCTCAGCATCTTGTCAGTGCATCATAGAACCAGCTGATAGCCCTGGGTCTCCTTCCGGAGACACGCAAAGCCCACCGGCCTTCTCTGTGATAGAAGCAGCCATGGACGAACTGTGCCTAGACCCACTGATTCACTGGGGGCTGCTGACCAGGGATGTTGATGCCATGACGGATTTCAGAGTGTAGAGTCCTGCCTGGGCATCATCAGTCCACGCACTTAGCACTGTGCCTCGGAGCACTTCTTCCTAAGGGGCGTGGCAGACAGCTGGCTCCTACGACAGGGTGCCTGGCCTTCAGGGGACAGAAAGGTCAGGTGGAGAACAAGGCTGGTCCAGGGACCGAGTCTTCATGCTTCCCGACCATTTCAAGTGTCCTGGAAGCAATCAGCCAATTCCATGTTGAAGCTCTTTAAGGGAGAAAGGTGTTTGATTTGGCGTTCCTGGCCAGTGATGGAACCCGCTCCCCCGAACACATCGCCCATGCGTCAGGTGTGCTCGGACACTGCCAGCCCTTTCCGAAAAGCCTCACACGTCTTTCAGTCTGGCTTCCTGGAGCGACGGTCCTCTCTTTATGGAGTAGTGGAAAGGAACACCTGGTCAGGTTTCGGGGCTGGGGAGTCACTGGTCTTCTCCAATGATCAGCCATCACCGAAACAAAGCGTGGAAGGGCCCGAACGCACCAAGGTCGGGGTGGGTCGTGCGCTCGGGGTCCTTGGGCTTGCTGCACGCGAAGCTCCCCGCTGTCTGCATTGTCATCCACCTGAGTATCGCATGCCCTTGTCAGTGTCGCAGCTCTGTACAGCTGACAGAGGCCTCATGTTCTCCAGGCTCCTCCTGTGTTCTTGCACACGCATGCATGTCAGCGAAGAGCCCACGCATCAGGGGTGACAGGGGACAGTCATGGGAGCAGCATTTCCAAGGAAAATGTGGATTTTCCTTATGGCTTGGGGAATTTCCTATCGGTCTTTTGAAACGAAGCGGGGCTGACTATTGCTGCGTGGATCCTTTCTGACTTGGCAATGTGGTCTGATCCCAGGGACAAGGATGCGCTCTGGCAGAAGTCGGACGCCCTGGAGTTCCAGCAGAAGCTCAGTGCCGAGGAGAGGTGGCTTGGGGACGCTGAGGCGAGCCACTGCCTGGACTGCAAGCGCGAGTTCAGCTGGATGCTGCGGCGGCACCACTGCAGGTCCCAGGCAGCCCGGGGCCCCAGTCCCAGCCAGGGTCCAGAACGCAGGGCTGCGAGGGCCGGTGCCGTGGCCAGCTACTATGAGCCCTTTGACTTCAGCTTTCAGGGAACGGGGAGGAGAGAGTATTGTCAGGACCCTAGGAGCTCACTCGGTGCCCCTGCAAGGGGAAGAGTTAAATACTGAGGTGTAGGCAGAGTTAGCGGGATGTGGCACCCCGAGACCAGCAGCCTGTTGGCTGCGCCTCAGCGTGCAGGTGCTGGAGGGAGGGGGCAGCGCTGGACACTTCCGAGCTGGGCTCAGGGCTCCCCTGTCCTGGGCAGTGCCTAGGAACACAGACCCTAGGGCCCAGAGCGGCCAAAAGTGAGTCCCAGTTTGGGGGTGACTGATGGAGGATAGTCAGCACAGGCCTGGGGGGCCAATGGGCTCAGAGCCTCATCCGCTGCAGCTCGGTGTCATGGAGGGAGGGCTCCACCCTTTCTCTATCTAACTCCCAGGACCTTAGGAAAGAAAACACTCCTCTGCTAAGCCTCAGCAAGCAGGGCCACTGGAGTCAGAGATGGGTTCAGGAGTGGGCCACGGCTCCACGGTGGCACGGCCAGGTCTGTGGGAGCCACAGGCCTCCAGAGCCCTGCAGAGCCTGTCGGGGTGCTGGACATAGCCTCGCAGTGCTGGGTCTGGGTTCAGGGCAGAGCCCGCGGGGCCCGGCCGGGTTCAGGGCGCGGTGGGGGGCGGGCGTCTCCCTCACCGCCTGGTCTCCCCCAGGATCTGTGGCCGCACCTTCTGTTACTACTGCTGCAACAACTACGTCCTCAGCCAGCACAGCGGCAAGAAGGAGCGCTGCTGCCGCGCCTGCTTCCGGAAGCTCAGCCAAGGCCCAGGCTCCCCGGGCAGTGCCGGCTCCGGCAGCCAGGGAGAGCCCAGCCCCACCGCGTCTCCAGCCCCAGGAGGGCAAGGTCAGGCTCCTCGACACCCGCTGTGTTCCCTAGGTGCCCCCCATTCTGTTGAGGCTAGTCAGCTCTAAGCCTCCTGTTTTCCAAACGTACATGTTCCGGAGGTGCTAAATGTAAATCTCACCACCAGCTCGAGACTTTCCTGTTGAGGCAGGTGGTACTGAGAGAGGCTCGGAAAGGGCCTAGCTTTTTCCTGATACAATTCCGTGTGATGCGAGACAGGTCTGTGTACCTCATAGCACACGCTCCGCCAGGGATCGTCCGGACACCTTGGGAAATGCTGTCCACCAGAGCCTCAGCCGTGGGTGGAGCCTCAGCCGTGGGTGGAGCCTCAGCCGTGGGTGGGGCCTCAGCCCTGGGTGGGTCCTCAGTTG